CCCCCCCCCCGCAAAAAAAGACTGGAGAAAAACAAAGTATAAATGAAGCCCTTGCACTGCCCAGCTTTCCTAGCTTGTCCACCTAAAGTTGGCAGATCTGGTTCTGTGAACAATATTGGGGATCTCCCTTCCCCCCACGTCCATGTATCTGTAAAAGTATGTGCTACATGTATATGCAGCTATTAAGACAACCACCTTCCCAAAAAGGCCAGGAGAATTTGAAACTGATCCTATCTGCATTTATGGATCACTCTCTTTCACAGACATAAGCCACTCACTCATACCACTAATTCCTTTCGTTCCATAACCAGAATCAATAGCAGGATGAGCAGCAACATTGGAAACAGGATGAGGGAAGAGTTATCTGCACTGGAAAGAGAAATGGGCTAAGAAAGAGCCACTTGGAGAAAAAGAAATAAAAGAGAGAAAGCCTGTTTGATATTACACAAAGGGTTAAATTAACTAGGCAAACAGCCTCTGCCAAACAATAGCTAATCTTCAAAGACCTCCAAGGTTTAGAGCAGCAGTAAAATTTGCATTTATCTGCATCTCTGTCTATTCACTTATTTTCAACGCTTCTATTCTTCTGAGCAATGACTCCTCTGCCTAAATTCGCAAGTAATTATGAGCCTTCCTATTAAGTAAATACGCTATATAATTATCTGCATTTAGTATAATTGGCGCTTACCCGATTTTAAATCAATTTACATGAGATTTGGTAAAGGTTGTTTCTTGACCTCAGTAATAATAGGGATTTTAATTTTTAATCAGCAAAATAATTGCATTATATTATAAAAATATCTTTAGAATTATTCACTGAAACAATTTTATGTCTTTTGCCTGCCCTAAACAAAAGGAAGATTTTTCCCCAGCCTCCCATTCCAGGAAATATAAAACAGCACGAAATAGCTGTTTTGTAATACACAATATTCAGTTAATATTTCAGCTAGATTTAAAAAATCCTAAACACTAGTAAAATTCACAGGTAATTCTAACTCATGATTTCACTTGCTATCAAAGAAAGTTTTTCATGAATCAAAAAGTAACTTTACTGATAACAAGTGCTGGTTATAAAGAATGAATCTGAGAAGGCTTAGGAAGCTGGGAGATGATAATGAAGTGCAGTTTTTGTGGACAAAGTTTTCTTTAAAATATGCTGGGTATTAATCTGCAAAACAAAGGTTTTCTGAAGAAACTGAAATGAGCAAACACTGATCTTTTTCCTGGAAGAATTCTAGGGAAGAACTGAAAACATATTTCTTCTGTTTTGCTGGAGATGAAAATGGTGTTGGGTAAACTTCTGTCCAAGCCAGTGCTGGGTAAGTATTAACTGTTTGTTTTTGATTATGCAAATAAATTTATGGCAGTCCACTGAGGGAGGAATTTGAATTATGGAACTGGCAGGAAAGGACTATGTCAAGACTATCCTGCCCATGTTGAGGAAAAGAGGACACTTGTTTGTTTTACTGTGTATCCCAAATGGCCAAGGATGACCAAGTAGAGTTCCCTATCACATTCTGCAGCTGGATAATGTTAAGTAAGTAGCTGATGTATTGAGTGTGTGCTAATTCAAGAACGCCAGCAAAATTTTCAGGGTATATTACAAAAAAATGATGGCAGGGAATAAGCCAATACTGACCAAACAAGCAACTATAAGCTGTGAAAATTATCTTGACTACTCAACAAACCATGACTGAAATAAACTACAGTTTACTGTTATACACTAACACAGCTCTGAACTTTTGAATTGTATAAAAATAAGCACACTTTTTCAATATAGGTTCCAAAATCTGTAAATAATCTGACATTGCTATATGCATTTTAATGAAATATACTGACATTTATATCAGTTTAGGTACATTATTTATATTTCCAATGTACTTTCATTACTAATATTATAGGCATGCAGCTTCCAAGCTTACACATGGAATGAAAAAAGGTAATAGTTTTAAACAGAAATCAAAGCAACCTTGTCAAGTTAAGTTCATGCAGAACAGCAGTTTGAAGAGGAAAGAAAAGGCCACTATAATATGATACTGTAGTGCTTTATAAAAAGAAAATCCAATAAAAACCTGAAAAGGTAAATCACAAATACAGGAAAATACATAATGGCAGGATTTCTAGAGATCAAACTTAAAAATATAGTAAGGGGCCAACCACACACAATGTTAAGCACCTACTGTACAATAGCATTAAATGCATTTTTATTTAGCTGCGAATAGCTATGGCAACTGGGATGACAGATGGAAAGATGTTCTTCCAAACTAAAGCTCCCAACTCATACAAACATCATTTTCAATAAAATATGCATGTAATGACTAGGCAGGATATTAAAATCCCTTCCCCCTGCAAGTGCTATGGATTGAGCTACCCAGCAGCTACTACTTACCAGTTAAGCAAGAATATATGCTATGTTAAGCTCCATGTTTTCTATCAAGTGTAATTTAAACCCTACCTCCCAAAAGCCATGCCTGTTACATTTCCATGTTCCTTTCAAATTTGAAAACCACAGTTCTACAGTACATATATCTGTTATATCCATATATTAGAGGTGTGTCTGTATTCACTTGTCCCCTCCAGACACATATTGTAACATACAAGGCAATTAATAATATTCTTTGAAAAGTCAAAACTCTATTTTTATAATGCATCCTCTAAATAAGTTCTCATAACCTTATGGCGACTCCTTAGCAAAATGGATGCATATCAATTTATATAAAATTCCTTAGTCCTTACCTTGGTTGTTAACAGCAAATCAACATGCTCAAACAAGGGCTACCTAATTATAATCACATTATTGTGTTCAGCATGTTGTGCTTCTTTTAAGCTCTTTGCAGGCGTTTAGATGGCACACATAAGCATAAAAGCACTGAAGGTAAGAGGAAGTGGCTAAGCCCTACCCCAAACATCTGCATACCTGATATCTCTGCAGACATCTATGCATTGAGCAAGGAGGTCAGCAGGAAAATCTTGGATGTGTTCACTGTGATTATTCTGATCATGGACACTAATAAGACAGAGCTTCTAACTGTAGAAAAGTGCATTCAGGCGAACGGCCTTGTGCAGATCTTAGAGCTCAGCTCGCAAAAGATCTGCAGAGATAGCAGGGAAGTTTGTGACAGAACTCCTGTGTGAGCCCTTGCCTCTACATTTTAACTCTAGCATGAGCATTCTCAACACTACAATGTACTATGCAGTGCTTTATAATTTATCAATGAGAAATGCATCATATCTAACTTCTTCAACATGTATTCTTTAAAACATAAAAACATATACAATGTATATTATATAGAAGCATTTTAATATGTTTTTATTGTATCATTAACAAGGGATATACCTCTGGTTATAAAAGTGTGTGGCTCTTATCAGTTGTTTATGTAACTGGTCAAATTAATATCCAACCATCAATATTGAAAAATAAAATCAGCAACATTAAATGTTCTATTCTGCCTTTTAATCAGGTAAATATTTTAGGAACCCAGTCTAAATTATGAAATGAGAATGACCAAATTTTTATTTGTGTAGGAGAATCCACATAGACAACAATGCCCTGTTCCCAAAAGATAGTATTGAGGCATAACTGCAAAAGGAAAATTGTTTTGCAATATTCTTTCTATTATATTAAAGATATCACAGCTGCAAATTGCAAGAGAAACTGTAACATATTTTACATCCTTTGTTAGTGTGATAATAAATTAAAAATCAATATAAAAATGGACATTACCTTGCTCATGATATTGAACACTTATAGAATTACTAAAGTTCTCTGGGTAAACCCAGACAGGAAGGAATACATATCAACAGCAAAAAAATAACTTGGGACCACAATGTATACATCTTGAAAGGCTAGATAGGGAAATAATTTCATTCATTCAACATACCTCAGATCTGGCTAAATTTCCATTATTCACACGACACATCTGATCCCTTTACCATGAAACTGTAAACACGCAGCTACAATTTTCAGTCATCTTTCAGAAGCTGCGTTTACAGCATCACTGTAAAGATACTTACTGGCTGAGGACTGAGGTTGAATACGAGGTATTCCTCCATTTGGCACTTGAAAGTTTGAGTCACTTCTACTGTTTTTCACAGACTCAACATGGATGTTAGATGTCCTGGACAGGTTTGGAAGACTACGCCTTAGTTTTTCTGTATTAAAGAAAGATAACAAGAACACCACAACATACCATCTAATGCAGGAGACTGAACTCTTCTACCACCCATAGCAACCTGAAGCACAGAGGCCCTGAGGGAGGGGAAAATGCTAAATACAGGTCTGCAGAGCACATATTTTAGCTGCCAAATAATACATTATCAATTAAAACCTTAAAAAGTGAATATTTTATCTAAAAATATTACATTTTATAAAAAGGAATCTGAACCCTCACATAGAGCAAAATTAATCAATATTTGTTACTTTCTTTGAGATGTTAGGAAAAATAATCTATTGATCCATTCTCTCAAAAATGGTGAATGCATATGCAGTGGATGGCAATCTATTTATACATTTAAATTCCAGTGTCTGCATGGAGTTGCATAGAATTAGTTCTCATTCAGGACTATGATACTAAAATAAATAATGAATAAACTAGCAAGATACTATTGGAAAAAAAAGTCTAGTGAATTGGGGCTTCACGATAAGCTCCTCACACTTCCACAAATGCTCCAAATCTGCTCTGGATGATCAGATTTGATTTTATTTAATACTCTTCTCCATCTCACATATCCCTCCAGGTGCCTAGAGGAGATTTTACAAAATACACAGAAGGATTCAGACATTCATAATTTGTTTTCTGGTGGAACAGCCTTTGCCAGCTGACACCATTGTACAGAACCCTATTTATTTAGAAAACCTCTTCAAAAGCCTTACAGTGATGGAGACTAACATATTCCATAGGTTTCAACAAGTATGGGGCTTGTACTCAATTAACAATGTTGAGTTTCCTTGACTGCTTTTGATATAACACAGAATTTATAGTTTTAAGTAAAATTAGGCTTAAAATATATTTCACTGATCACAACATACAGTTTACTTTATGATTTTTTTAAATTAGATAACATTTCTTGTTGTTTGTTGGTATATCCCTTTTTGAGGTCAATGCAAGAGAAGCAAAAGCAAAAGCTCAAAGGATGAAAAATAATGCAAACAGGGACGAAGATGAATATTGCTACAGCATTCAAATAAGCTCAGTGCAGCCTGTTCATGAACTATGCTGAGTCATTATTTCAGAATCTAACCTGTCTAATATGCAAGTACATACTTTCATACTGTTGTGCCCATCTATCCCTCAATCCCATCCAGTAGTAACTACTGCAGAGAAGAATGGGAATAACCCCCCCAAATTATGGCCAGCACCATCAGCAGTCTGTGATTATGCAGAACTGGAACTTAATCACAGAAATACTAGAATCGCTATGAGTAGCTGTAACTTCTGACTTTGTGTATTGTGCAAATCGATCTAATAGCAGCTACCAGCTTTTCTTTAGTTCCCTAATCAATACAGTGGAAGATAGATGGGGACATCATCTCTTACAAATAAAGACAGACCCCTTACCCATTACTGAGCATATTAGATAATTCCTGAATCCAGCTAAAAGATGCAGCAACAATACGTATTTTTAATTTGTTAAGTATACAAATTACTTATTGATTCTGATTCTCCTGATCCCTTTGGGAATGTTTCAACCTACTTCTAATATAATTGTCTCCTTTCCTTTCAACCACCTGCTCATTTATGGTGCACAGGTATATGTGCGTGCAGGGAAACATGAGATACGCTAGCATAATTTAAAAGAAAGGACAGCTTAGGTCTTCAGCCACGACATTATCTTTGCTACTGCAAGACCATCAAGAGCCATAAAATGCCGTATACAAAAGTGGTCCTGATCACATGCTTTGTGGAACATGAGTGCCATCACCTGCTATTACAACAGAGTGCCATCACTGCTGTTACTCACCTTTCCAAGTGCCTATCTCAGCTTATGGCTCCCCTTTCCACCCACCCTGTATAGTTTTTCCATTGAAATTAAGAGTTAATTTAAGAGTTAGTGGCAAAGAGCACATGTGAGAGGAACAGCTGAGTTCAGCACCAGGGGATGAACAAGCCTGTCAGTGCAAAACACAGGATAGAATATTTTCTAGTCTGGCATTTTCCACACCATATGTGGGTATGTGAGTAGGTGCAACACAAAAGAGCAAGTTTACGAGATGTCACCCTCAATATTTCAGTCAAACAGGCATAACCACTCCTTCTGGGAACTATAAATTATTTTCTGTAGGGCTTCGGTAAGAATTACTTGCATTACATTTTTTGAAATTGTCCCATTTTAGGTACAAGCCTAAAGTTTTTTAGGTACAAGCCTAAAGTTTTTATCATTTGATTTATATTTATGAGCTCTTCAAACATTTAAAACAGTAAGTTCTGCTTAGAAAAATATAATGTGTTCCAGACAGTTTTTATTAATGTACTATTCTTGATCACAAAACCTAACTGTAAACTGAGGATTATAGGAATTATAGTACAAGATTTCTAGAATAACTGAGTTCAAGTGCCAGGTAAGAAACATCTATACTGTGAGCAATAATGGTTTTATCTCACACCACCTTCAATTCTTTTAAGAAAAAAAATATTATTGCTCATAGAGCTCAAGTTTGTAATTTCCAAGTCATAGAATTGCATTTTCAATATGCTAATAACTGTTTGGTTGATAAGGACAAGATAGATTCTTTCACTCATCTTCATCAATTCTCAGGTCTTAAGTCTGTCTGATAACTAACATTCAGCTTGTCTACAAAACAATTAGCTGAGATTTCACTTATTGTGGAGGATATACAGAACTGAAAGAAAGCTTTAAAACAAGCAATGGAAGGGAGCAAACAGGAAGATGAAAATTTTAAATGCAATCATTCTTAAATTGTGCTATACAATGTACAGTCTGATATGTCTCCTTTCACAAAGCAGAGTTAGCAATGCAAGGTGTAATGACATGCCTTAAGAGATCTAAAGTAGGTGAACTGAGAAGCAACAGGAACATCCAACAACAACAGAAAAATAACTGCATTGACTACTGTTTGTGGGATCTCTTAGTACAAGTTCAGTTTACTACATATGGTTTTATATATCTCATTAAATTCCATAAAAAAAGGTACCAATGTTTAAAGGAAAATGTTAATAGAAGAAACATCCTATTTACTTTTCTTTTGTAATGAGATTGTTGGGAAATGTACATAGCTCACCCTGTAACAGTATCTTTCTACTATGAACTTTGAAAAAAACCATGCAGTTTTTGGAGACAATGTATTTTATAAACCAACTATCCCAGAAAGCTCATGTTTTTCCTTCAGGTATAACATATACTACTAGATCTTGGAATAGAAACAAGAATAAAATTATTGTTAAATCCTGCTATAATAAGCTGAAATCAAATCCCAACTGTTCTTTTAAAATGTATACTTCCCTCCCCCTTCCATGTATCTTAATCAGTCCTAGTGGCTCTGATCTGTTTCTTCATTTCAAACTAAGGTTGACTGAGAACTGACTGCTGGCTGGGGAATTCTGGAGTTGAAGTCTACATATCTTAAGGTTGCCAAAGTTGGGAAACACTGGATTAAATTCAAGGGGCAAACCATTTTCATTTGCGACACCAGGTATATAGAATTCTTTCTCAAGTAAACAGTCCTGGCTTCATCCATCAGCTTGTTTGAAGTTAAGAACGAGCACTTTATTTTCCAACTGTAGTTTTGTGTTATCTGTAATTTGTTGCTTGCTTTGCCATTTGATCATTGCTTTATTTTAGAGTTGTGTATATTGACAATAATTTATATTTCATTTGGTTTTATGTAGCTTTTAAGTATATTATCCTATCTCACCCTTTTTAAATTATGTTATGCTAGCCCTCATTTTCTTTAAAAAAAAAAAGGCAGATACCTACCCTGCAAGGAGTAATTGAAAACTGAATACATGTATGCTTACTGAAAAAGAAATTTACTTCTCCTTTCCTATATATATTTGCTGAGAGGAATAATTAAACCTATCTATAATAGCTCAGGGCTCACAGGTTTTTTATAGCACATTTCTTTAAAGCTACCACCTCTTTAAAGCAACAATTTTCATTTCACTACTAATTCTGTTCCCTTTAGGAAAAAAAATACAATAGTAATTTGTCTCTGACAGTCACTATCTTGGCCTAGTTAACCTTATTTTTTCCTAGTTGATATTCTTTTTTATGAACTTCTCAGTATGAGAACCATTTGAAAACTACATGGCCACAAAACATTTATTTTCAAAACTTACTGATTTCTAATCAATCTAATGAAATAAACTGTCAGAATGCTTATTCTACCTTTCCTTGTATCTTTAGCTGCAACATCACACTGTACAGAACATTTTAATTTCATTTTAATAATTTACAGGGCTGCCCATTTCACAACCGTAGTTTTCAATGCTCCCATACCAACTGAGGCCACACCACCACCACCATTTGAATGCTTCGTGCATAAAGCTGGAGACAAAGTCTTTTACCTTCATTTTTTACAGTGGCGGTCTGTAAATCAGGGGGATGTCCTTGAAGTGAAAGACGAGGTTGCTGCAAGCGGCTAATCATGGGCTGAGGTGATACTCTGCTGTACTCTATTCCTCTAGCAGGGGATCGAGATCTGGGAGAATTCCTTGGGGACTGTTTTGGTGAAGGCCGTGGTGAATTGCGTGGTGATGGAGAGAACCTATTCATAGCTGGGTGCACTGCATGATGGCAGCTGTCTTCTTCATCTTCTAAGCTCTGGGCATCAAGTTCCTGGTCACTAAAAGTTCCACGCCGGATAGAACTACATGAAGAACCAGAGCTACGCCGAGAAGCAGTTGCTGCATATTCTTGCCGAAGACCTAATGACAGAAAGAACACTGCTTGACGTTCAATCCCCTTTTTGGGTTAGTTCAAACAAGGAACATTTGGCTTATCTGTAGATGTTTTTTGTCCTAGGAAAGAAAGACACTTAACTTTACAGTTATTTACTTAAAAATACCTTGCTTGTCTTTGTAAAAGACACAAAACTTAGAAAAAAGCGTACCATAAAACCAATAAAATAATAGACCGTTCAACTTAACTTTATTCATTTGTGGCCACAGACCAAAAGCAAACAAAAAAATTCTATACAGTGAGTAAGAAGAAGCAGGTTCTGGTGATAATATTTTACAGCTGAATTTAAAAATAGAATTAAATAGAATTTTAAAATGAAGATAAAAGTACAAATGGAAATTCAATGCTTTTAACCAGCGTAAGGCTCAAACCCAGAGCCTTCTAATAGCAACCGCAATTAATCAAAACTTCACTATATTCCTGGAAATTTCAGTAAAGAAATTAGCAAGTAAAAATCAAATAAACTTTCATTTTGAACCAACCCACACAATGAATACAAAGTGGAGTTATTAGCTCTACATGCCAAGCACAATGGGGGGGGGTAGTGGAGGTAAACACAACTTACTGGATCAACTGTGAAATCTGAGCAGATGAACAAACATTCCATGTAATGGAAGTTAGTCCTCCCCCACCCTCGTAAGGAAGACAAGGCAGTGAAGCCGGCTCATGCAGCCTCTCTTCTGTGTATGCCCAATAGTTTTATAGAGATAATTGGGACATGTGAAAGGACTATGAACGAGATCTTTGGGACAGTAAGATAGAATTTCAAATTTGTCATTCTGTATCTCTAGATCAGTGACGGCAAACCTATGACACGTGTGTCAACGGCAACAGGCCACAACGTTTTGGGTGACATGCCAGCGTTCACCAACACCTGACAACAACTATTTTCCCTGTTTGAGTTACCAAAGAAACCGAGTTTGTTTTACTTATATATCATTTTTGTAATTATTTGACATTTCTTTATATAATACATGGCATCACACAAAATTGGTCGTATTTTTTAAAATAAATGAATATGTAAAGAATTGTTTGTCTTTTGTTTGGGGGGGGGACACACCAACAGAATGAAGTTACACATTTTCTGAATTTTTGACATGCTGAGCCCAAAAGGTTTGCCATCACTGCTCTAGATCAATGATTTAAGTACTTCATGGCTTTGTCTATTCCCAATAATATGTAGATATTAAGAATGGAGCAGAAAAACCATAGGAGGTCAAATAATTGGCAATTAACTTCCTTCAATTAGAAATAAACTTATCAGCCATAATAAGCTGGACCAGCAATCAGATGTCTGATTTAACTAATGTTCAAATGCATATTTAAGCTATTAAAGGGGCATTCAAATTCTAACCAAAAAATGAATGTGGGGTGGGGCAGGAGAACCACAATAAGGTTCTGATGAATTTGGAGTGGATGGTTTCAAAACATGAATTATCAGAAATATTCACAGAGCTAGGCACCAAACAAGAGTAGGCTCAGCACCTTAGCACTGAAGATTTCAATGGCTGCAGGGAGTGATATATATCCATTGCAGCTGGCAAATCTAACAACTGCACTGTCAGTTTTGTGAGCTCAAGCTATGACCTCTCAAGTTTGCTGTATCCAGGAATTAGATAATTGGAAATAGATGAACAGATATTTAAAAAACCTTTACTTGCTTGATGGGATGGCTACTGATTTTCCACATATGCTGGGAACACTGCTTGGTGAAAAGCAACATCTTCGTTTTTGAATAATTTATTTTCAATCTCTCAGTTTGGCAATGTTCAGCCAATGCCCCAAAAAGAGCTCAATAAAATCAATAGAACAATGGACAAAAATAATTCAGCATAAAGCAAAAAGGCAGAAGTTTACAGTAATAAAAAACAAACATAGATTACTGAGCCTCTCTGGGAAGAGCTTTCACAGCCTGAAAATTGAAACTGAATATCTCATATAGTCTCACTGAAGAAATAAGTAGCACATACCAGGGCCACTGTTGTAGATAGCTCTAGGAGGACAAGATGGTGGAGAGGGAGGGAGTCCTTAAAATATCCTGTTCCTAAATTTTTAAACATTTTTTTGTAGATAACTATAAACAAATTGAGCAACACCCACAAGTGAATTGGAAAGCAGTACAGATATGATCAGCAAAATAGGTTCCTGAAATCAATCTAGACATCATGCTTTATATCAGCTGAAGTTTCCAGATGCTTTTTTGAAATACAATTACATGATATGTATTATGATAAGCCAGACTAATTGTGATCAGGTCATATGTAATAAGACCAGATCATCTTTATTTGGGAAGGGGAATAGCTATCATATCAACCAAAGTTATGCACAAACTATTCTAATCTGGGCATCATCTGAGCATCCAGGATTCAGACTAGGGTTGAAAGCACTCTCAAATGACAAGCATGGACTCACGATGTAGATTCAACATTTTCCAAATTTAGCATTTTTACCAATACAACATCTTTTTTATCAAGGTTTAATCACACTTTATTAGGCCAGCTCTTAATAAATTCAGAAACCAACTGTTTTACAGCTTCCACAGCAGCAGATGGAAATACAAAGCTAGGCATTATTCACATCTTAATGATACCCAACCCCAAATGGCTACAATATGCCTCCAAGTTGTCCAGCCAGAAAACAACACACTAGCTTGATTGTTATGCTTGTAACATCTCTAATCAAAACCTTATTGGCAGTATTAACTGTATGCTACTGTATACTGAAAGATTAATTCTGGGGAGAGATTGTATCACAGGATCTCTGAGCTGAACAGAAGTATAATACTGTAAATAGACACATACAAATGTAGGGTCAACATCTACTGACAAAATGTAAATACTAACTTTAACATGATACACTTTACTTTCTTCTATGGTGGGGGGGGGGACAGAGAGAGAGACTTTTCTGATGGTTTGTAGGATTTGTCCAATTCTTATCCCTCCTCCCTTCTGCATTTAGATTAGGTTGGATCAGGCTACAATTACAATGCCAGAGTAACTGACATTATAACTGGTATATTTTTCTCCAACAAATCTGTGGCTATATATTTTATCCAGCAAACATGATGAAGACTTTCCAGTGAGGCTCATATCAAGCAACAAATTTTACGTGAAACCATCCCACGAGTCCCTTGTTTTATTCTGGATAAGTTATTCAACGCAACTAACATGAAGTCAGAACCTTTTATGAAATTAGTTTCAATTATCTTGACTCAATGGGCAAATCACTGAAGGAAAATTGTCCTGTAAGTCCAAACTTAAATCTTGCCTGGCAAATGCTGTCCCCAATGCAGCTCTCTAAGGAGACTATAACCAAGAACTTAAAGATTATGGTATTAACTTTGATTAATTCCCAGCCTGTTACAGGAAGATAATAATGCAACAGTAGCCCATATGTAGACTTTTCCATCCTTCTTGGTAAACATACTGGGAGATGGAGATGGTGCTATAGGAACTATCCATTCAACTCCAGATCCTGTCTTCAACTAACCAGCATGTAATCTCAGTTTCCAATTGTCTTTTTGGGGATTAGAGGCCAAGAAATCTGTCAAATTTCCAAAATGTTTCCCATTTTGATACCAGTATATGGCCACACTGTAAAAATGTACCATAACAATTATTTTAAATTGCATCTAGAGCAAGTTGCTGCATGGAAGCATATATGGACACCTTTCAGTCTTGATCATGTGTACTTCTCTCTTTTTATTCTCTTTCCCTATTTTTACTTCACCTTTTAGTCTTTCCTATTTTCCATTTCTCTTGGCCTATATATTTCTCAAACCTCCCTGTTTCTTCATGTTAAATCCCTGCAGTTTACCAACAAAAACAAATGTGCTAAAAACAATTTACTTTTTTGATATGAAAACTACTTACTTTCCTCCTGCATTCGAGCTAAAATTTGCACATCAGTTAAGTCGTTTAGTTTGTAATTAGATCCAATTGAATCTTCATCCATTTCTGAAGCACTTAATTCACTGTCTATAGAGGACTGTGGGCTTAGTGGAGGATTTCGATCTGAACTTTTGAAATGACCTATAAGAAAAGGAAAATAAATAGAGACAGACATCCACCATCTTATCAGCATGAATTATAGAACATTGAGGGCAGAAAGAAAAATCCTCCAACAACTCAAGCATGTTGAGACATAAACTCATTTTTCTTCAGGTTAGGTACTGATCTACAATGTGCTGGACTTAAGTGAACTTCTAAAGCAACAATGTTAACTAGGGCAAATATTGAAACTCCTAAATGTTTTAAAGGAAAGTTAAAACAAGCTTTTATTGTTTAGACTTCTGTAGTTCTTCATTCATCACTTTCACAGTAATTGCATTTTAATTTCAATTTTTTGCTACTAAGGAAAGGTAAAACTGGCACACAAAACTGTACCTCCACTAGGAAAGAGGAATCTATAAATGCCAAACAAAATAAATGTTAAAATCACTTTAACACATGTTTGTAAATGTACTAGTCTATCTGGACCAGGATCTGGGCATACTCTGATATGTAGGAAGTTGACTGCATAACTCAGGTACCCAGACAGACTTCTAGACAGACGGACAGACAAAGTGACAGAAAGCGGTACAGACAAAGCAATACAAGGATTACAGCCCAAAATTCTTTAGAAATTATTAAAAGTTCCTAATATAATCCTTATCAGCATAAACTGTATAAGCAGAGATAAACATCTGAAATGAAAGAAGTCATTAAAAGCTAACAAGTTTTTCTTGGTGTCCATTATTTGCAACTTATATCTGAGACCTTACCTGAGTTGTTAGGATATATAAGCTGTTTTACTAAAGGAGCTTTCACCAGTGTAGGGGAAGGAGAATTGAAGCTAGTGCTATAGGGACTTCCAGCACTGGGATTATAGGAGTTTGTGTAATTGACAGTGTTGAATGGATTACTATATAGGCTGTGTCTCTTGAAAGCTGTATGAAAAAACAGAAAACAAAATTCAAAACCTGTTTCATAGCACTTAAAATTGCAGTTCTGATTTTAATTTCATATAGCATGTTATAAACGAGATACATAATGTTGGTAAAAAGTAGAGTACATAATTTTCAACTTTTAAAAAGTACTATTTTCCCCATGATGCTACAGTTATTTAAGTTACTGTTTTTATTGCTTTATAGTTGATTAAGTCATTTTTGTTTTGCTTACTGAAAACTCACATTCAGTTTCAGCACTCGTTGAATTAGAGTTTAACAAAATGTAAGACAGGGATCAGCACAATTTTCAGGCAAAATTACCCCAAAATATTGTGTGGGATTCGGCAATTTCACTCCTCATTCTCTCCTGGTGCAAGACCTGGTGCAATAATATCAAAATCTTAAGATTTGGTGATCTTTTTCAACAATATATTTGAAAAAAAAATTGAAGATCCATAGATGCCACTAGAGGTGTCATGTACACTAAACTGCAATTAGAAGAAAAACTTTACCAAAGGCAGAAATGGCTCTGGTTGCATCAGGACTGGGAGTAATAAATTGGATAAATAAATCACATAAAAAAGCAGTGAGCAAAATTCATTCATGTAAAGTTATATGACATTAAAGAGGAAAAGAAAAAAAAATAACAACCCCCCCCCCCAAAACAAAAAAAATTTGGGGGAAAAAAAAAAAAAAAACCACCCCCCCCCCCCAAAACTAAGAAGTTTGGGACACAAAAATCAGACATATAATCAGTTCTCATTCCAACTGAGAATATAGAGCTAGTGTAGACATTTTGCTCTCATATCTTAAAGAAATAATAAAAATGGATATAGTTAAAAATAATTGGTAAATGGGAACTACTGTTCAATTGTTACAAATATTTTGAAAACATCTCTTCACCTTATTAAGTGCACAAACTCTCTACAATCCCATCAATTTTTAATTTTTAAATTTAATTTGGCAATTAATATTAAATGTTGATTATGTTGATTATATCAGAAAATGATCAGCTCATCTTCTCTATTCTATTTATTTCAGTTATTTCGTGTCCTTGAATTTTTTTTTTGAAAAAAAATTGCAGATTGAGTGTTATTTTACATGCCATTTCCCACATATTGATTCATTTAGAATAAAATGATAACATATAAAACAACTGCCAGGTTGATATACTTATCAGACTAAGTATAACAGAGCTGGACACTTATACCCCATGAATTTTAATAGAAGAAAGCATATATTTAACCTTCCCATTAACGTAAATTGGATTTAAAACAGGCTAACTTTCACTGGAACATAATTCCTATATTTTTAAAAAAACTTTTAATATTAAAGCACTACAGGTTTAAAACATGTTAGCCTAAAAAACAATTCAGAAACTCACCTGACATGGTTTGTTCAAGCCTATGGATCAATGATTTTTTAGCACATTCAATGTCTGGAGTTGGATAATCCAGTATTTGCCTGCACCAAACGAGCGGACTCATTGATTTTTGCATTGGAGTCACTTTCTTCTTTGGTGACATATACAACCTAATGAAAATTAAAACACCCAAACATTAAATGTGGATACACAGCCAAATTAGAACTTCAGTGTGTCGCTATTCTTTTTAACAAAAAAGCACAGGTCAAGACAGTTTTAAGTGCATTTTTCTCAGCATGCTTGAAAATTAAGAGTTTGCCTTTCCATGATCAAATGTGCCCACCTAACCCAGATGGTCAGAGAATGCCTACTTGGGATCCCCAGATACCAGCAGGGAGGGACCTGAAGGCCCTCCCTTCTGGGACAGCTTATCTTCAGAAGCAAGAAGAACCCCCGCTACTCTTACAGCCTTCTGGAAAGCTGTAAAGACCTGGCTTTTTTGGAATTTATTCTGGAATCATCAATGTAACTTTTAGTTTCATTATTGTACTGCATGGTTTATATTTTGTATTATTTTATTATTGTTGTATGATGAACATTGTAAACCACCTAGAGTCCAGCACTGAGGCAGCGTGATTGACTGATAGACAGACAGCCTGCCCTCTGAAAAAATCAGATCAATATTAATTTCAATATGCAAAATCAGATTTTATGAATTCAGTATAAAGCATGGCAACCATCTTGTGCATATGCACTGTTTTTAAACTTACACAAAGGGAAATCCATTTGTTTTTCCAGATCTCTTCTCCTCACTACAGCCTCCTACACACCCATAAGCCTTTTCTATGCAGAAGAAAACACTCAGAAATGGTACTGAATGAGGCTCAGGAAGCTGAAGTAGAATGGGAGGAAACTATCCAAGAAGGAGCTCCTGCCCAATATTCAGACTACCACTTTTGATGCAGACCTGAGCCACATTCCCATTTTTCCTGGGCATCTTCCAACACGCAGGGCCTTTTTGTTTTCTAAAGAGGCATGGGAGATGAAAGATGAACACAGGAAAAGGGGATGGGAAAACAATATTAAAGTCAAACAGTACAAGGCTAAAATCAAGCTTCTATACCAGAACCCAAATAATTTGACCTGAATTCCTAACTGCTTGAAAAACAAGCTGCAGGATAAATTATCGCATGAAGTATTTGTAACACCCTAACCACTTTAAGACTTGACACTAAAGCTTTGATCTAGTGTTTCCATAATAGTTTATGAAACATATTCACCACCCAAAGCATGGGCAGGTACTAACAGCAGACTTGTTAAGTTTTAAAAAAAAATCTTTAAAGTCTCAGTGAATGTCTTCACCTGGACCTAATGTTAGCAAGCTAACAGGCACAAATTCAGTTTCATATTCCAAAGAGTCTACCACTAAGGCAGCACTCTTATACATTTCAATATAATCAGAACAAACATAACTTAGGAAAAAAGAAAAGGATTACAAAAACTGTACACAATGTTCGTTGAAAGTATATGCACAAACAATTAATATAGAGAATCGCTATTATATTTGTAACTTTCTGTCATTCCACAATTGTAACTAAAAAATTATGAGTGAAATAGCAATTCCCCATATTTAATGCCTATATGCATACTTTGAATTGAACACGGTATATATCAATATTTAAAGTTTTTAATGTGACAAATGAGCTTGCTTCTTGTTTGTTAACTTATCTAATCTAGGTTGGACTGACAACAGTGCTATTCACAGGGAATAATGTACTACTTCTGAATAAAACTACTATTAACTCTTTTGGTCTTAATTTCTTCAGAATCACTTGCATCATCATGCTTACATTTCTCAGTTTTTCATACGTTTTTCCAGTATCAGACCACTGGAAGTTATCTACAGGAGAGTGTAAAGTTCTCCAGCCTAATAGCAAAATATCAGGCTGTGGCGGGAAAACAACACTTTTCATACACAGTTTGCTGTACTTCAGAGAAGAGAATGAGCACAGAATAGTGAAACTGGAAAAGGGCTGAATTAACAATCAGCAGCTAATGACTTCAGGATAATATTTCTACACTGAGATTTTGTTCCATTTGTTTGAGAATTATTTTTGAATAGGTACATACAGGATTGTACTATCAAAGAACTATCAAAGAAAAATAAAGTTAAAACAAGTTTATCCATGTTCATTTCACAATCATAAAATTAACCTAATGAATCACACTGCAGATGAATGAGATAGGACAGCTGCTCCCATGCTTCTAAGTATATGCCTGAATATTTTTTTCTTAATTACTTAAATTTTAATTACTTAAATGTACTCGCATTTGGTCTGTCAAGAGTGAAGCAAATATAAAACAAAGGGGGAAAAAAGAAGCTTTTACTCAATCAATACAAGCAATACATATAAAAGGAGGGAATCGCTCCATGCCCTAATTTGAAGTGAACAAGTCTCAATTTTATTCATTTATTTATTAGATCTGTAAGCTGCCACAATCCAATGACATCATGCACCCTTGATACATCTTTTACTCTATACCTAATTTTGGTGCCATTAACACACATCAGTCCTGACTCACCATTTTGAGAATAAATGAAATGTACCCTATTATTTGTGTGCATGACTGTGTATGGTTGAAGAGGATTAGGGGAGAGGTGAAGAAACCTAACAGATTATTGGCTTCTCTTGCTAATGTACTTTCCAGATCTTTACAGCACATTCTACATACCTTTCAAGTGTTTTTCTAACACGCAACATCACCCTCTATTTTTTTTTTTTTTGGAAGAATAGCTACTTGGGTGTCTTTCCAAGAGATAGGATTCTAATCCCAAAAGGGTCCCTTGACCTCTTGTGTGTAAACTAGTAGAGTTAAGGCTAAGAGAAAAAGGCACCCAAAGTCACTTTGATCTAATTCAGTGTTTTTCAAATTGGCAACTTTAAAACCTGGGGACTTCAACTCCCAGAATTCCCCAACCAGCACTGGCTGGGGAATTCTGGGAGTTAAAGTCCCCAGGTTTCAAATTTGCCAAGTTTGAAAAACGCTGATCTAATTCAACCCAACCAGTATTCCAGCCAGAATTAGACCATACAAACCTCACCAGTTCTAACAACCTGGTTTGAACTTCCCACCACTCACTTATATTTATGAGATATTTCAAAGAGAAGAAGCACAGCCCATCCACTCCAGATCCCAGTGTAAAAACGGGCAGATTCAGTGCATCACCCAACCCGGTTGTCTTTTCTCAGCTGCTCTAACGAAAGTGTGTTCAGGCCCACCATGGTGTGTCCCAGACCTTTCTTTTTCCTGCTCTCCTTCCTTAAGCATTAACTGGACTTGCCGTGCGAAGAACGGAAAGGCTGGAGGGTCCTTTTGCGGGAAGACACCCCCCAAGACTCTGTAGGGTGATCCCCAGCTTTGGGGATCCTTGCTCCCCGCAGGAATATCTAGAGCTAGCCAGCCTTCCCGGGTCCCCCGATAATTGAGGCAGGGGGCCCTTCCTTCCTTCTCTCCTTCCTGGTTCAGACGTTGCCCCCCTCCCGGGAGCGCTACGCCCCGGCCATGTCGGCCCAGCCACCTCTCCGCGCTCCTTACCAGCCCGTCTCGTCCTCTTCGCAGCCGGCCA